CCGATCATAGCACTGAGTTTAGACTTGTGTATTCACTATCTCCTGAGGGACCTCTAGACCTTCCTTAGCTTGTGCTCTCTTGCTCCTTGGCCTTTGCACATGCTATTTCCTTGTTTTCTTTGTTCGCTTGGAAAATTACTAGATTATGTGTGTTTTGGGGATAGGAACTGGGCATATTCATATCCCAGATTTTAGGATACCTAGCACTTAGGCTGCACAGTAGATGTTGTTGAGTTAAATTGGATCAAGGAGGAATTCATCCCAGTTTAATTTTTCTGCTTCTGTCTGAGCTGAGGTTTGTGTTATTATTTTAAGAAAAAATCATTTCATAACCTATCTGAAATTCAGGAAATATACACTTTGAGTGCTTTAGCCAACCTCCCACAGTGTTATTTTTAGTGTATTTTCTTTTGCCCTGCCTAGTGTGTCCTGTACTGTGAAAGGAGGGCCTTTGGGCTAAGGATTCAACAGATCTTAGCCCTATTTCTAACTGTAGAAAGCACTGCAAAGGACGCTTAGCATCTGTTTCTCTCTGTCAGTGTCACCCTGGTTTCCACCACTACTCTAGTGTAAAAAAAAATGTTCATTATCTTTAGTTTCTCTGAAGAAAGATGTACTAATATCCACATGATAACTAACCTTGATGAAGTTCTTACTATATTCTAGAAACTGTTCTTGGCGTTCCTTTAATCTGTATAACAGCTCTGTAAGAGCTAGATTTTTTTTTTTTTCTTTTGCTGTATTGGAGATTGGACCCAGAGCCTTTAAACTGAGCTATATCCTCAGCTCTCTAAAATTTTGAGACAAGGGCCAAGGATTTAGCTCAGTAGCACTATGCCTGCCTCGCAGGCGCAAGGTCCTGAGTTCAATCTCTGGTGTTGGAAAAAAATAAAATAAAATTTTGAGACAGGGTCTTCCTAAGTTCCTGAATTGTATAGGTTGGGCTCAGACTTGAAATCCTCCTGCCTTAGCCTCTCAGAGTGCTGGAATTACAGGCATGTGCCACCATGCCTGGCCAAGAGTTAGATTCTTTTACCTCCACCCCCACTTTTTTTTTTCAGTGCTGGGGCTTGAACTCAGAGCCTTGCATGTGCTAGGCAAGTGCTTTACCACTGAAATATAACCCTAGCCCCTCCTCATTTTATACTTTAGTAACACGAGGCACAGAAAGGCTGATTTGTCAAAGATTGTACAGAGTAATAGGGCCATGATTTGAATTTAGAGTAGTTTGGTTCCAGACTGCTCTTAGCTAGTTTAGCTTCCTTTCAAATCTAAATGTATCACTTTTGTTATTAACCTATTAATGACACATGCACAGATGCTCATTATAACAATATTTATGATTGTGAAATTGAAAATAAGGGAATACCTAAATAAATAATGGTAGATCCTTATAATAGTCATTAAAAATCACATTTTTTTTGGTACCGGGGATTGAACTCGGGTCCTTGTGCTTGCGCAGCAGGCAGCGAAACCACTGAGCTAAATCCCGGGCAAAATCATATTTTTGAAGAATAGTTAATGATATGGAAAAATACAGTAAGTTGAAAAATAAGATATGTAAATGTTACCTATTCATACATATATCACGAACATGCAAATATTTAAAAAGACTAAAAACAGGTATATTAGTGATTCTTTATGAATAGCATGATTGTAATTTTGAATTTTTAAAAAAATCTTTAATAAAAGAAAATTTGTTGGATACCATATTATGTTCCAGCTAGGTACTATATTAAATTCTTACCTGTATTTTCTCAGTTAACTCACCAGTGCTGAAGTAGATGCCACTTATGTTTTAAATGAAGAAACTGGCCTGGGAAGATTAAGTAACTTGTGTAGGGTTATACAGCTGGTGTGTGAAAAAGTTGGGAACTCCACATTAGACTTTGCTTTGTTTTTGTTTTTGTTTTGTTTTGTGTTTTCTAAATTTTTTATAATTTGTATAGTTTACATGACCAAAAATAAAGTTCATTTAAAAAATTATACAAACCTGTTGAGACCTACAATAAATCAGAATTATACAGTGTGATAGAATTTATTCATTGGAACCACTGATTCCTTAAAGCAGCTATATAAAATAACAAATGCGTGGGACCTGAAAGAAATTAGACTGTGTATGTGCATGCGCATGTGTGTGTTTTACTGGCAGTTGATCCCAGAGCCTTGCTAGTGCTAGAAGGCAACTGCTTAACCACTGAGCAGCAGCCCTAGCCCATTTTTATTTTTATTTTGAGATAGGGTCTCACTGAACTGCCCAGCCTGGCTCTGAACCCACTGTACAGCCTCCTAAATAGCAGAGATTACAGGCTTGTGCAGTGATACCTGGTTTAGACCAAAAATTTTAAAAGTTAAATATACCCAGTGGGTTTATTTTGCTGAAAATTTTGTTTGATTGTTTGTTTGTTTGTTGAGACAGGGTCTTGCTAGGTATGTAGTTCAGGTTGGTCTTGAACTCACTATGTAGTCCAAGCTGCCCTTGGACTTGTGGTGATCCTCCTGCCTCCCAAGTGCTAGAATTACAGGAATGCTACCACACCACACCTGGCTTGCTAAGGATTTTTTGGAAACCATCTACTATGGGGAACTGTTTTTTTTTTTTATTTTTTTTATGATCGGTTGCAGCTATAGTTGATTATATTTTAATGAGGTAAAATCTGATGCTTATAGGGTAGTTAGTATATTGATGAGGCTGCGTATTTTCATAACTGTGTTTAAGAATTCCTTAACCATTTAGTTGTGGTAGTTAGTGGTTCCTTTTGTTTTTTTTGATACCAGTGAGGCAAATATGGCTAAATCCCCAGAGAAAAAAGATTTTTCTGAGTGTGAATATGTAGAATTCCTTATTGCCATAAGAATTTTTCTGGGGGGGGGGTTGTTCAAGACAAGGTCTCACTATATAACCCAGCCTGGCCTCTAACTCATGGCAATCCTCCTGCCTCAGCCTTCCTAGGACTGGGATTCCAGGCATGCACCACCATACCCAGCAAGATTTTCTAATATAAGTTGGTTTGTAGTTGACAAATGTATGTGAAAGTCAGATGCTTATTAAGCATCTGTAATCTTCAAGGATAGCATCAATCACAGAATGCAACTATCGGTTATATTTTCCTATAATTATCCCTTTGTCACAAAATGAATAGTAAGCTAGGTGGATTATTGGTGGATTCTGGGATGAATTTTATATATTCTTACACTAAATTGATTCTGCTTTCTTGTATGTCTTGACACTTAAGGGATGTATGTTTTAACAGGAAAACACAGCCACCTATAAACCTTTGTCTAAAGAGCTACTAGAGAATTGTCTCTCTGACAAGAAGTTAATTTTTGGAAAATACATGAAGATTAAGGAAGAAAATGCTTACCTACTTGTATCTGTTAGATGAATAGACCTTGTGCATAGAGAGCAGACTTAATGAATGGATGAATGTGTAATGTGCACACCCACACCCAAGATCTATGTGAGAGCAGGGGTGTGTGGAGAATTGAGTCAAAAGAAAGGTATATGGGCCAGGGATGTAGCTCAGTGGTGCCATGCCTGCCTGGCAAGCACAGGGTCCTGAGTATGATCCCTGGTACCCAAAAAAAAAAAAAAAAGAGTATGTGAGGAGAAGTGGCCTCAGAAACTTCTGTTAAATTAATTGCTCCCTTTTCAAATACGTATGTAAGGTTACTAAATATGGAAGGGAAATAAAATTGTTTTTCTCACTAGAGAAGTGGGAATTTTTCTCTTTAAGATGTAACTCTTCTCAAGCTATTCCTTTTTTTTTTTTTTTTTGGTACTGGGGATCAAACTCAGGACCTTGCGCTTGAAGCTATTCCTTTAAAAAAAATTTTTTTTTAATCTGGTAAAAATAATTCAAACATTTTCATACCATTCTGTCCACTGATCTGGGTGATCAGTTCTTTGAGCTGTAAAACTTACTATAATCGGGCCAGGGATTTAGCTCAGTGGTTTCGCTGCTTGCTGTGCAAGCGCAAGGACCCGTGTTCGATCCCCGGTACCAAAAATAACCTTAACTATAATCAAGTGTAATATAAGGAAATTATTTTGCTGGCCCTGTTCCACAGTGGCCTCTTCAGTCCTGAGTAGGGGGATCGGCTGTCCCAGTTTTAGCACAGAAAACCCCATATCCTAGGAAATCCCTCAATACTAGGCACACTGGAACAGTTGGTCATCCTTACCCTGAGTGTGAAGATTATACTGTAAGAAAGGGAATTGGGGGCAGGGGGTGTGTAAGAAGAGTAAACAGAAGAAAATGAGAAATCCTGAGGTAGAAAGAGAGTGTATTTTCCTTTTGCAGAATCTTTACTATAGCTTAAAAAAATGTGGGAATAAGTAAGCCAGTATATGTGTGCTTGATTGCCATATCAGAGAACAATATTAAGTAGACCCCTGTGTTTCGGTATATATTCTTCAGTACTCATACTAAAAGACAAAGTGGGGGAAAAAATGAATGCCATAAAGATTTTGAGCCCCCTTGAACATAGAACTTTCTATCTTTAGTGGAGGGTTTGGGTTCTAAGAGATACTCTTTTGCCTTCTCTGGGTAACATTATTTTTAGCAAGTGGGAATGTGGACATTTTTACTTTGAAATGTAAGGCCTTTATGAATTGCAGACCACTCCATAGTACATTATCTATGTCTGTAGTGAATACTGAGAGTGAGATGTTCTGTGGCATACCTGACAGATCAATTTTGAGTTTTCCTTTTGTCTTAGTGTTTTTCAGCAGGCTTATCTTTCTTACCTTAATGTTGGATTTTTTTTTTTTTTTTGGCACTGGGGATCGAACTTGGGTCCTTGTACTTGGGAGGCAGGCAGCAGAACCACTGAGCTAAATCCCCGGCCCGATCTTGGATTTTTTTTTTTTTTGGTACCAGGGATTGAACTCGGGTTTTTGCGCTTGCATAGCAGGCGTCGAAACCACTGAGCTAAATCCCTGGCCCCCGATCTTGGATTTTAAAAAAAATTTTTATTATTATTTTTTAATCTTACAGAGAAGTATGGGAAATGGAACTGGATAGACTCAAGAATCAGGATGGTGAGATAAATCGGAACATTATGGAAGAGACAGAGCGGGCCTGGAAGGCAGAGGTGAGAAGAGCTGACACCTTGAAAGCTTTGGTTTGAGGCTTCTAGGTGGTGCATATTTTTGGTATCGTATTAGAAGAGCCATGAACATTTGTTTTTAACTATCTAGAGATAGCTTTGTAAATGCAAAATTAATAAGGGGTGTGTGTGCGTGCGTGTGTGTGTGTGTGTGTGTGTTTGTGTGTGTGTGTGTTTATTTGTTTGCCTGCATACTATTTCCTTAGATCTTATCACTAGAAAGCCGGAAAGAGTTGCTAGTATTGAAACTAGAAGAAGCAGAAAAAGAAGCAGAACTGCACCTTACTTACCTCAAGTAAGTTCCTTGCCATTTTTTTTTCTAGTTCCGTGATTGAACTCAGGACCTTGCCCCTAGTTCCTTGCCATTTTAAGATTTAGTGACGTGTATATGTACCTATTCTTCAAGATGAATGTAATTATTATGTATCACAAAAATATACTAATAGAAAAAAACTAAAAAAGTTATAAAGGGCTGGAGATGTAGTTCAGTGTGAAGGCCTTGGGTTCAAGCCCAAATTAAACAAAAACAAAAAAGATTTAGGCCGGGTGTGGTGGCATACACCTGTAATCCCAGCACTCAGGAGACAGGCAGGAGGATCATTGCAAGTTCAAGACCACTCTGATCTGCATAGTGAGTTCAAGACCAGTCTGAACTACATAGTGAGACTCTGTCTCAAAAAAAAAGATTTAGTAAGGGCAAGGCCCTGAGTTCAATTTCTGGTACCAAAAAAAAAATGATTTCCTGACCCAGTACTTTACTTGTTTGTTTTAGGTTTTTGAAACACTAGGCCAATATATCTTGTACTTATTCTGTCTTTGTAGGAATTTTAAGTCTGTGTCTGTGAAGTAGTAATTGCTCAGTGATTTCTTTTTCCACATTATAACCCTCCTCACTCTATCTGTTCCCCTCTATACTTTTATTTAAAAAAATTTTTTTGATACTGGGACTCAAACTCAGGACCTTGCATTGGCCAGGCAGACATGGCACCACTGAGTGAAAATCCCCCCCCCCCCCCCCGCGGTCTGCCTATATAGTTTTATAGTTTTGTACTTCTTGTATTTCTTCAATTTGAGTAAATAGTATCTGTTAAACTGTCAAAACGTAACAAAAAAAGGTCTTTGGAGATTTGTTTTTCTAGTATGGTCATCTTTCCTCCTTTTGTCATGGAATTTGGAGGATCCCTATTGACCTTGTATCATTTTTCAGACAGACAAGAATCCTCTTATTTTCAGATACTGGTTCAAAAGATGATAGAGGTGAAGTGAGGCAAATGACAGACTCTTGAGCTTCTCCACACCTGCTCGAGAACCATTGCTGAGCTACTGTTTTGCTATCTCAGTGAGTTAGGAATCGGCCTGTCTTTAATTCTGTAAATTCCTGTTGTTTTCTTGAAAGGTCAACTCCTCCAACATTGGAGACAGTTCGTTCCAAACAGGAGTGGGAGACGAGACTGAATGGAGTTCGGATAATGAAAAAGAATGTTCGGGTAAGCTTGGTACCATAGTAGGTACAATCATTCACTTGTGCTTAACACTTGTGACAAGAGAGAAGTAACCATTTGTGTTTGCTAAGGCTATTTCCACTGCTCTGTTTTCCAGAGAATGAATGATGTACTTTCTCCAGATTCTCACTTAACTAGCAATAAAAGATTATCCTGTCTTTTCCTTTTTTCCAGGACCAATTTAATAGTCATATCCAGCTAGTGAGGAATGGAGCTAAACTAAGCAGCCTTCCGCAAATCCCTACCCCTACTTTGCCTCCACCCCCCTCAGAGGTAAGAGCTGGCTTTGGGGAAACCACCATTCTGTGTTGTGACATAGCTAGAATCTTGTATTTGTCCTTTTTATGAAGATAGTGGGATCATCACTGTTTAAGGCAAGAGCTGCTCATTGATATCTGCTTCAGTTTCCTAAATTGTCTTCCTTTTCTCTCTTGTCCTTTATGGCTTCTCCTCTGCAGACAGACTTCATGCTTCAGGTGTTTCAGCCCAGTCCCTCCCTGGCTCCTCGGATGCCCTTCTCCATTGGGCAGGTCACAATGCCCATGGTTATGCCCAGTGCAGATCCCCGTTCCTTGTCTTTCCCAATCCTGAATCCTGCCCTTTCCCAATCCAACCAGCCTTCCCCACCTCTTCCTGGCTCCCATGGGAGAAATAGCCCTGGCTTGGGTTCTCTTGTTGGCCCCCATAGTCCACACATGCCCCCTGCTGCCTCCATCCCGCCTCCCCCAGGCTTGGGTGGTGTTAAGGCTGCTACTGAAACTCCCCGGCCCCAACCAGTAGACAAACTGGAGAAGATCCTGGAGAAGCTGCTGACTCGGTTCCCACAGTGCAATAAGTAGGTATCTTTCAAGATGAATTAAAATACCTTCGTCAGAGCAGTGCTTATGGTTTGAAATAGGGGAGGTTTCATGGGTGTTCCCTAGGGTTATAGCAAAGAATCTGTCTCTCTTAACACTTTTCTTTCTTAGGGCTCAGATGACCAACATTCTTCAGCAAATCAAGATAGCACGTACCACCATGGCAGGTCTGACCATGGAGGAACTGATCCAGTTGGTAGCTGCACGACTGGCAGAGCATGAGCGGGTGGCAGCAAGCACTCAGGTAAAAAGAGCTGTGTGTAGAGGATTTAGGCTTACTGAGGATTGGAAGAAGAGGCAGACTTCAGAAAAACTGGGGCTAAGAAGACACACTATAACCACAGATATCCAGTCTATTTTTTTGCTTTGCTTCACTGGGAAGTTAATGATTTCTTTTTGCTTAATGCTTGTTACACTCTCTTCCCTTACTCTGAAATTTTTTTTTGCCCACAGCCACTTGGTCGGATCCGGGCCTTGTACCCTGCTCCACTGGCCCAAATCAGTACCCCAATGTTCTTGCCTTCTGCCCAAGTTTCATATCCTGGAAGGTCTTCACATGTAAGACTCTTTCTCTTAATACTGGTATGTGGAGAAACTGGGTTTACAGGTGATGTGAATGAAGAAACCATCATCTCGTCAGCTGGCTTGTATGCAGCCTTACTGGGAATATGCATGTACTTTAGGCAAGAATCTATCTTTGGGCTTTTATATCTTTTGGTGTAAAATCATTTTGCTACATGGAAATAATAGAAGGGTCGTGGGCATAAGAGGCAAGGTGACCCACAGGTTCTTACTGTGTGACCATGCCTTTTCTGTGTGCAGGCTCCAGCCACTTGTAAGCTGTGTCTTATGTGCCAGAAACTTGTCCAGCCCAATGAGCTGCATCCAATGGCTTGCTCTCATGTGTTGCACAAGGAGGTGGGTACTACATACCTTCCTCATTTTCTACTCTTCTTTGATGGCAGAGATAATTTTTCTTGAATATTTTACTGGGTTGATGCTCATCATTAATATCTAACCATAGGGTTTTTAGTAAACTGGGGCTTGAACATCAGAATTCAGAATATTGCAATGAGGATCTCCCCACTTCTTTTTATCCCCTTCCTTTCAAAGAACTGGGTAAGCAGTTCATAGTAGAGCATTGTAAGTCACTTTCTTAGAAAATTGACAATAAGAAGTACTTCTGTGTTTCAAACATTTTTTCAAATGTTGCATTGTCAGGAGACTTTGCTTAGAGGAGAGAAATGGAATAAGGAGCCTGAATGTGAGATTAGTAACTGCATTAACAGACTAGCCTGAAGGACTACCTAGGAGATTATCTCCATTGACTCACAGATCATTCTTGTTTGCTTACATTATTAGGCAGAGGTAAGTCTCTCAGAAGCAAGGTTGATTCTTTCATAGCTATTTGGTTTTGTTCATTTTGTTTTTCCATGAGGTAGAAACTGAATTGATAACTAATTTTTTTTTTAAATAAGAAAAAGTTCTGATTAAGATTTGAAGGTGAAAAAAAAAAAGATTTGAAAGTGATGAGTATTAGATGGAAACTTATTTCAGGTCAAATGGATCATAAGGAACAAGCCACATTTGATACTGAACAAAAGGGAGCTTTGTGAGCCCCTTATTACTATAGCTAATTATTTCTGGTCCCAGTAAAATCAGCAGGTTCACCTGCTCTGAAGATTTCTATGGATAAGAGCCAGTAAAATAGCCCATTTGGTCCCCCACAGTGAGAACTTTTCAGGCTTAGTCCTTATGAACCTTAATGGCATTCTCTCCTTCCTTCCCTTTTTCTTCTCAAATAAACCTGAGGTGTGTCTCTCTTTCTTTCCAGTGTATCAAATTCTGGGCCCAGACCAACACAAATGACACTTGTCCCTTTTGTCCAACTCTAAAATGATGGACCTGACTGGGGAGGAAGAAGAGGAGAAACTGATGTGAACAGGAAGTGCGGGTTCAAGATTTCTAAAACTCTATATTTATACAGTGACATATACTCACGCCATGTACATTTTTATTATATAGGTAATGTGTGTATAGAAAGTCTGTATTGAAATGTTCGTAAATGAAAGTATGTATATAATGCAGAAACACTCTGTCCCCTGCTTATCTTGTAGCTCTTTTGGGGGATACAGATTGTAGGGAAGATACTGTTTAGTTTGGCCTTGAAATTATGATATCCTTGCCCTAGGGCTGTTTTCAAATACATCTAGGAAGCTGCTGTTGCTCTAAGGCCATCCTGCTTGGGTTTGGCTCTGCCTCTAATTCATTTTCTTAAGGCTCATGTATGCAGATTTGAAGCTTGGTGCTCACCTGCTGTCCAACCAGCTGCCTTGCTTACCGAAAGCCTCCAGAATCCTCAGTATTGTTCTAGCTGCTCCACTTCAAATGGATAAAATAAGACTCCGAGGAGAAAAATGTAACCCTAATAGCTTGACTTTTCATTGAGTATTTTACTGTTAATGTTCATTATTTATACATAGACATTAGGTTTACAGAATATTCTGTTTTACATCAGTAAAATTCACAGTCCAAGAATAATAACATAACCAGGTCCCATTTCTCCTACAAGCTTCGGTCTACCCTACTTCCTGGATAGAAATGAGCATAACTCAGTTTTTCCTGGGTCAAATCATCCCTTGCTACCACCGGCTTGGCTTCTAATCAAGCTCTGATAGGTCAGTCTTGTGAAGTCATCATCTTTTCTCATTCATTCTGATCTCCTAATCTAGCTAACCCCCTCCCCATGAAGGTTAAGGCAGTTGGTTTACAACCAAGTTGTTTGGTGACCTTGGGTGAGTTCCAGACAGGCACTGGGGTGAAGCAATTTGTGCAAAATTACTTGCAGAATGACCTTGGGATGCTGGGTTTTAATTTTTGAAGCAAGAAAGCTATGCAGACATGTATGTTTCTTTCTCTGGGAAAAGTGAAGACCGTAGTGATAAGAAGAAGGGAGGTGGGACTTCAGGGTTATACATGGTCTGTTCTGTGGATAGCTATCTGGAACTAGATCATTTTCCACCTCTGCTAATTGAGCATGTCTGGCTTTTAGGTTTTATACATGGGAAGGCTGTGACTCTATTGGACCTTTGACTTTTTTCCCCTATCCTTTTATCTTTCCTCCTACAGGAAATGGCTTTAGTTTCCTCCTTTTTTGAAATTAAACTTAAAAAATTCACTCCAGGGAAAAGACATTATATTACTAACAACTGAGTTGTTCCCATTCTGGGACTGGAAATTCTTATTGATACTGGCAGTCCCTGTCAGGGTGGCAAAGACTTTTCTATTCAGATGCAACTAAACCCTCTCCTCTCTCTCTCTCTCTCTGTTTTTGTTAACCATTTTCCTTCTTTGTCTTTCATCTCTTTAAGTACTTGCCCAGGTTTATTGACCAGAATTACTTTAAGTAGCTGGATTTCCCAGGATCTCCTTGGCATCTTGTAGAGTGATAGAAGTGGCTTGAGTACTCAACTCTTTAGAGGTCAGATGGCTTACTTTCTTTGGTCAGTGAAATATTAGTGTCTCCAGTTTGGTACTGCCACGAACAGGAAAAGTGGCCAAATAGAAGACTGGTTTCTTTGTTCTTTTCACTTAGGGGATTCATTTTTTATCTTGTAATTTTTTTGTTTGTGTTTTGCGACAGGGTCTTGTTAAGTAGTGCAGGCTGGTCTTGAACTCGCTATGTAGCCCAGGATGGCTTCAACTCATGACCCTCCTGCCTTAGCCTCCTGAGTGCTGGAATTATAGGCAAGTGCCACCACATCCAGCCATCTTAAGATTTTTCTCTTCCTTCAACTTTTCAGTAGCCCTGGACTCCCCATAGTATCTTTCAGGGTTCCCTGAAAATTTAGAAATTGGAAAGGATACAAAGAATATTATTTCTTTGGTTTGAGGCCCTGTCCTGCTCTATCCAAAGCAAGGTTATAGAAATTTCAAATTGCCTGAAGGGGAAAAATTATGTATATATTATTTCCCAAAAGTCTTTGAAGCCAAAGGCATAGAGAAAGAAAAAAGGAAGGATGAGCAGGGAGCTTATCTGTATCCTGGTGAAAGCTCCTGAAAAGCCAACTGTAGACTGAGGATATGTGTTCTGGAGAGCTGTACATGGGAGCTGGGGCCTCATCATTGCTCTTTTTCTGGTTCAGGAATAGTCAGAAGTAATACTTAAGTTGTGGTCACCCCTGTTCTCCCTTCTCCCTCTGCCAAGCCTACAGTGGTACAAACTACACAGACCATAAGCAAGTGTTGCCGATGCAAGTGTGTGGAGATGGGACAGTCATTTTTCAGGAGCAAAATTTTAAAATAGAGCTATATAATACATATTTTTACAACCAAGAAGCTGTCGTCAATATTATTTTTTTCTCTTAAGAGTTTATAGTTTCAGGGTAGAAAGGAAATAACTGTTAAAAAAAAAAGTCCAAGTTTTCTCTTAGAAAAAAAATAGGACATGAGACTTACTCATGAATGGGTTGAGTTTTAGACCCTGGAAAAGGCTGAGGAAAAGCCAGTTTTCCCCAACATGAGTAGAAATTACAAAGCAGAATGTAGCATTTTCATTTCATGGTAGCAATTCTGGAAGTTTATTTACACTGAAAGTTCTGAGTTGGAAGCGGACAGTCTCCAGTCTTCCTGTCAGTCTTTGTAGTTGTGAGGTGTTCCCAGTCAGCCAAAGCAGCACCAAGTGCAGTGGGAATGAAGAGAACCCAGATAAAAAACCATAACTTAATATTCTCGTTTTATTGGTTTATGGCTTGTGGGCAGCTGGCTAAGGCCAGCAACTCCAGAGGCCCCCCTTGTATTTCCTTCTCCTTCATCAGGCAATTCCACACTTGCCAGGTCCCCTACCTGGAAGTAATATGTAGACCAGATAGGATTAGGATGCAGCAGGTAAACTGGGAAAACTCAACTTTTCCCACTAACACTGGTTTCACAGTCTACTGTGTAGAACTGATAGAGAGGAAATGAACTTGGCCCGTACTACCTAGCCCAAGAACCAGCCTGGGTACCATGTACATTGGGAGTGGGGCACAGAGGAGAGGGTGGGAGAAGAGGACAGCCTCCAACAAGGAGAATGGTGAGGAAATAAGGAAGCCCTGAGGCTGCCATCTTTTCTCCAGGTAGCCTTCATACTGAAGGCAATGACTCAGAGCCAGAAAGCCCTGTGTTTCTGACATTCTTGATATAATACTAGCCAGTGTTATAGCCAAATAAATGGAGGAGCCAGAAGAGAAGGTAAGAAAGCAATGAAACCACTCAGTATTGTGTGAAGATCTTACCACTTCTCATAGCAGAACAGGAAGAAATCTAGGTAGAGGTATAAGGCATCAACCCTATACCAGTTGAATGAATCTACAGGATTCTGCTTGCAAGGGTTAGGTAGGAGAGGTCTCATCTCTATTTCTTTTAGCACCTTGGCTGCAAAGCTCCAGAGAAATAGGGGTTTGGGGGAAGGAGTGAACGAGTGACCAATGAGACAGCGCCCAGCCCTGCTATATTCCAATTGCTCGCCCATAGGGCACCTAGGGCCTTGGGGTTGGGATGTTTCTGTGGCACCTATCATATGTAGAAGAAAGGGTTCAAGTAGAGACAAGTGGAATTGATATAATAGAAATTCATTTGTTAAGTGGAACTTCTTCATGGGCACCTTTCATTTAAAAGAGCTTTGAAATGAGCTCTTTGGCTAGATAAGCCCTTCTTCCCATCTCACTTTTGGTAAGCCTGCCACCACAGAAACATTGGAAATGACACCCATCTTATAAGATCTCCATCTGCCTTGGAGATGAGATCTAAAACTGGGACAGGTGAGTGGCTGTTTCTGTTTTTCCTATCTTTAATCCCAACTCCCTGTCTTTGTACTATCTCCTCTTAACTGCCCAATGTGTACAAAGATTCTAATTGCTTTTTGTTTAATTCAAGAGGGAGTCTTTCCATCAGTGTTAGGCTTGCTTACACTGTCCCTATCTCTAAAGCAAATAGCAAACTATGTATCTTCTGCTGACTTTGGCCAGCAGGGATATGAGGTTGGCTCTTTCGCTGCTAGGGTACCACAGAGACACTCAGTGGGGTAGCCTGGGTGTGATGCCAGGACTTCTGGAAGTAAGGAAAGAATACTTTGGGCTAGAGAATCTAAATGGATGGTGGGCAGAGGTTCAGGGCTGAAGGTTCAAGCAGCAGAATTTCCAACTCAAGTTTGAAGTGACCAAAAGTATTCCTGCCACCAGAGTGCTTCTTTCTTCCTTCTCTTGTTTCCTATAGGTGCAAGCCCTTTGACCCACCTTGTCGGCTTTTCCTTCTTTTCTGTCAAGGCAGAGGCATTTGGTGGGTGGGTGAGGGTCCTGAGGTGCTCTGGCCACAGGCACCATCTGTGTCTCCGACTTGAGACCAAAGGGAGCCACCCAGATGTGGTCCAAGGAAATCTCTATTTTCCACCCATGGGCCTCTTCATTTCAGCAGGGAGATGTCATCAGCAAAGTCATCATGCTGATGGCGGAGGCAGCGGAGGCAGCGCCACTGACATACCATGAGGCATAGTGGCAGCATGAAGAGGGCACAGATGGCAGCCATGACATAAGCTATGGTCATGAGGGTCGATTCGTCTGTCTGTGGAATGTTGTAGCCACAGTCTTCCATGTCCAGGGTGACAAAAGGGCCTTCCACTGCTGCTGTCCTGAACTCATCATGCACTGGGGAAAGGGCAGATGTGAATGGATAGCTCTTATTGTCATAGAGCAATTTGAGTTACACAACAAAAAGAACTTCCAGATAGTGACACCTTGAAATCAGGCTCTGAAAGTTGTTTAGTCCTCATTGTGGAGATACTTAGGAGCAGGCAGGAAAGCCAGTGCTAGGCGGAGGCCTGTCTCCCCTCTCATAGCCCCAGGAGCAGTGCCCTTCCCTGTTTACATATCGAGTGGAAATGAAACCCCTATCACCTTTCTGCAGGAGCATTCACCCTACATTAGTGCATCTGACAGGCAGCCTGAAAGTTCAGCCTGCTGCCCTTCTATCCAGAGCTTCCTAAGGGGCCCAGGCAGCTCTTGCAGTGGGTTTCCAGCAGAGCTTTCCAATCCAGGCAGGGTTCACCAGGGCAGGCAATACCATAAATAAAATAAGTAAAGGGCCGGGGATTTAGCTCAGTGGTTTTGCCGCCTGCTGTGCAAGTGCAAGGACCCGAGTTTGATTCCTGGTACCAAAAAATAAAATAAGTAAATAAATGAAGGATGAGCACTGACACCAGCTTTTGCACTGTGCTGACTTTAGCTTGAGGCCACTGTTACTATTTTCCAAACTGACAGGAGCCCAGTAGCCTAACTGTTGACAGTGGGATTATGGATTGAACCGTCCCCTCCTTCCCGTGCTCTTACCGTGGCAAGCACTGACAGCAAAGCCGATTCGTTTTTGGGCCCGATCAAAGACAACGTAGAAGCCC